CGATGTCGAGCTGGAATGTCGCTGGCTAGACCAACTTTGCGTGTCCCGAGTTCTATGACCTCGTGCAATGTATCATGAAGGGGAGCATCCTCCAAAGAGAGGCGCTGAGCGGAGATCAGGACGTAACTGTCGTAGGTTTTCGTATAGGTGACGAATAAAATGCAAAATCCTGATGAACCTGGTGCCCGAATCTATTTTACTCAGCTTCACAATTTGCTAGCTACTGAATCTGCTCCGAAACCCGTCCAGAAGGGATCAATGTAGACTCTAAGATACATTGGGGCATCCGCTCGTTCTAAGAGCGTGTCCGAAGTGAAGCGTCGAATGGATGTCGATGGATGTCGGTAAATGTCAACCCTCGGATCGAGAGTTTCAACCGTCAGGATTTACCGACATCGGATGTCAACGGATGTCGACTTCACTTCGGACCCGCCCTAACCATGGTTAACCAGGTGCTTAGCTACTTGGCTAGATTTCGCAAGAGTTTATCTTATCCACAAACCGCCGCATCTCGTTCTGCAGGAACCACTCGTTTCTAGGGCTGCTCTTTCCAAGAAAGCCATGGATTTTGCTTCCCCTCCCGTGCAGCCTACCGTAGTACTATGCTACCCAGTCAACCTGAAGATTTGAAGCTTCAAAGGAAAGCTACATTTTATTTTCGTCGTCGTCGCAGCTCTCGACAACCGTCGAACTCATGATGTTGAGGCATTTGTTGGGTGGACACGCAAGGCACCCTGATGGTTCAGCGTGTACAGTACTCGCATTTCCGCGTCGCACTGACCGCAACAATTTTTAGCCATTATTGCGCCGAACTCGCAGCACCGTCAGATCGTTGACATCAGGCACCCTAATGATCTAGTGCCCTCTCGACCTCCAACCTCGAAAGTTCATACAGCGCGTACAGTGCCGACTGGAATTGATCTCAGCACTGTATGCTCCACATGTGTATGGGAGTGTGCGACTTGCGACCGTATGAGCACCGGACCCAGAGTGACGCATCAACATCCCGGACATCGCTTGTACATCTCTTGTTACTTCTCTAACTGCTTTCAGATACGCCTCACATTACGAGGGTTTCAGTGGAGCTGGCAGTTTCAAAAGCCTCTTTCCTGTCGTTGCTTGGCGAGAGACCTTTCGGGTCCGTTTCCCTTCGTTGCTCCTGGTGGACGAATATTTTTGCTTTCTGTCACAAGAATCCCGAACAAGAGGTTCTAGTTACCGCTTTTCCCTACTAAGAAGCTCCCCAGTAACGTCCCAATGCCTTTTCTTGACTTCCGCTGCTCGTCTGAGTGCACTGCAGACTGTGACGGAGTGCACATTTCTTGGAAGGTGCAAAAAACCGGAGGAAAGGTGCAGCAAACCGTGGGAGCAACTGAATCTTGTGCTCCAGTGCTGATGGGAGCCTGCGCGGACGATTTGAAGTTCAATCCCGGCACGAATTCGCTGCCTGTGGTTCCCAGCACAGGGAACGGCATGGCGGAATCAACCCTCAGTGGTTCAGTTCCAAGGAAGCCCTTTCAGTGGAAGGCTGGGCGAGCCTAGCCGCGTCAATTTGTGAAGCCGAATCGCTGCGTGTGGAAGCCCTGACAGGTCCCAGCATGCCATCAGGCAGAGGACATGTCCGCGTGCTGACTCAACGCTCTCTAGAAGGCCAGATTTTCGCACCAATGACCGGAGCAGCTGTGGTTCCAGCGGCTGTTTCAGACCATCATGGGAGCCTTTCGGTGGTGAACACTTCAGCTGCTGCTGCTACTGCTCCGTGTTCAGGCACTGTGCCAAGTGCGGCGACATGGCAGTCCCCTCCTGTTCATGGTCTCGCCCAAGAGGAGCTGCTGCCACTGAGACCAGCGCAAGCAGCGCTGACACACCCTATCAGTGCGATAGGAGTCAGTCCTGCTGGACTCCTGGTTACTAGTGGTAACATCCAAGCAATGCATGTTGGAACGCTGTTTGAAGCGCCTCGAGAAGCTCCGATACACACGGCAGGAGGCCACACCCACAATGGAACCCTGTTGTCTCCCAGAGGGAACACCCTAGCAGAAACGCATGATGGAATGCTGTGTGATATGATTCCGTCGGGGAGATTCCAGGCCAAGGGCTCGTCCAGCTGGTGCAATGAAGATCTAATTGCTGAAGCCCTGGCCATGAGGGCTCGGGTAAGGCAGCGCTTGGTGAGTGAAGGACCAGGTACCAAATGCCCTGACAGCAGTACGGGTACAGGATCACTGATTGCAGCAACCAGCACTACTAGTGAGAGTGGTGGCAGTGCTCGGGTGGTGTCTGCAACGTACCCGAGGGCAAGAGCTTGTTTTGTTGATGCGCCTGGTTTCTCCCTATCTGCTCCTGTCATTGCCGGCTCTGCTGCTGTTAGCCCTCCACCTGCTGCTGCTGTTGCTGCTGCTGAAATGGCTTCAAGAGGGGCAGCTGAACCAGCTCAGTTTTCACATTCAACCTGGACGAACAAGGGTGGCAGTAAAAGGCAGATCTTGGAGCAGCTGCCTGGTCGCAGCAAAAGCACTATGGAGAAGCTCAGAAGACACCGGGTCAGGTAAATACAACATTGCTCTTAACTGCTTAATTATACGCAGACACATGTTTATTTTAGAATCTAACAATTGTACTGCCTTGTCACTTTTCTTGTTCTACAGCGACGGATTCAAACGGCTGGCAAAGGCCATCCCTGCATCGTGGATGCGTCAGAAACAATTGAAGAACTTATCTTCTCGAACTGACATGGCTTCATTGTTGCATATCGCAGTGGATTTCATAAAAGACCTTCAGGTGAGCAACAAGGATGAGATGAACAATCAAGACACGTTCTCTGGATTGTAGTCATTGACAGTTACATATGTTTGTGAATTTATGATTTGGAGGTGCAGAAAGGTCAGCTATATGAAGTTCCTAACAGATCATATATGTATAGCACGTATCTCCACTCCTATAGGGACTGGACCCAGAAGCTCTGGATCCGTAGACCAGCGCCTTATCCATTGGGCCATGGAGTCATGGCTACAATCTCTGCTAATTGTTATCAATACATTTTTATTTATCTATATTAGTGTGCTAATTATGTTGATAAGTTATCATAAGCATTACAAACGTGAATACCCATTGTTGAATCCCCCTTGCTGCTCATCACCCTCTTTCATCCGCCTTGAAATCATAGAGAGATCTACTGTCTTCAAAGAGAAGTCAAATTTAGCGTGTCTCTAAATGTGCGTGCTCCGTAGAAGCGCTCTTGTATCGCGTACGTCAAGCACATCTCCGGAGAAATTCAGCAGACTCACTTGGCCTTCTATGGGCCTGGCAGATTCGCTTCGCCTTGAAAGTCTTCTTGTTGTGGCTCTTAGACTCAGTCGTAGTGAGTACGTGACTTAAGAGTCACGAAAGTAGCAGTAGCGGGCTTCAAACTGAATCCCAAAGTTGAAGAAGCAGGTCGCTTTCCAATCCAGGTTGCAAACAGAAAGGTCACTAAGAAAAATTGATACAAAGAGGAAAACAGAACATGATATTTAAGCAATCCGAATTTCAAAGTGCGCCTCGCGTAATGCGCCTCATCGCAAAACCGAATTTCGTAACAGTAACCGACGTTGAAAACCGAAATTCCAACTGAACCGTCTTTGAAACCGACTTCTTCAACTCCACCGAACACTGCCTTCGGAATGGTTGGGAAAATTTCTGGCGGTTGAGAACGTTCTTCCCTCTCTCTCTCCTGAAACCCTCGTTTTCACCAGCTGCTCCTCACGATCTTCTCAGCTAGCTCCTCCCACCATCAGAACTCATTGTCCAGCCTATTCTCTCCCACCGCCATTTCCAAGTGTCCTGTTCTGTCGTTTTCACACTCTAGAGTCGGTGCAGCGGCTAACCACCTCTAACAGTGGCCTCATATGGTCTCCTTCAATCCAGAAGGCATGCATGAATGGATCAGTTGTCGTCTACTAATCGCAAGTAAATCCCATGCGTGAAGCCATGTGACGCTCGAATAGGGTAACACTCGCAGCCTCGTTCGTACTCTGCTTCGTCAAGCTCGTTATCCGGATTCTATCCGTCCATCATGCGGCGGTTCTGGACAGTGGGATTTGAAAGCAGATTACATTCGGAGGAGTTCGTACGCCGGCATGGAATTCATTGTTTATAGGGAGTGGTCTTTGGGCGACCGGCAGACAGTGGCGTCGCCATGTCGCCTCGCCGGGTTACCCGTCGCGAATCCCGCGAGCCGTGGACAGGGTTGCTGTGCGCGGTTGCTCTTAGAAGCTTCGGGTAGTTTTTTGCGTCTATGGCGGTTGCGCATCTTTCCGCTGCTCGCCGTACTCGTTATAGGATGTTCGTTTGTCGTACACGGAGCGGCTATATCTGAAGCTCTCACTGCGTTTCCGTCTTCCTCCGCTTTCGATCAGCCAACGGCTCTTCATCGAAATAGCAGTTACACTATATCTCTCTCTACTGACGCACTCGATAGCAGTACAGAGACGAGACGAAACGAGTATACCAGTAGTGACGTGACGTGGAGGCCAGAGACTGGTCATCAGACCGTTACCAGCTACATTTCGCCTGAAAGGAGCATCGCCAGTACGGGAAGTAGTAGTAGTGTAATAAGTAACGCTGATGTGCAAAACGACGGTAGTGTAGCGAGGAACAGGGCTACTAAGGCGTACAAGGCGATCAGCTGCGAGGATGATCTTGGCGGGGTGGGCTCTCTGGACGCCACGTGTCAAATCAGCAGCCACGTGCTGGTTCCTGACGGGACGGAGGTTTCTGGAAACGGCACGCTGGAGATTCTTGCAGGTGCCACCCTGGCATGCGGAATAGCTGGTGGTGAGAGCAAGAGTAGCAGCAGGAATGGTGGCAGCAGGAATAGCAGCAGCGTTAACAGCGACAGTAGCAGCAGCGTTGGCAGCGACAGTAGCAGCAACAACAAGAGGTATTTTTTTGCCGTCCAAGGACCTTCTCCTGCCGCCCAGCCCGACTGCTCCCTCTCCATTCACATGGCGACAGCTGTCATGCTACGAGAGGGCGCCAGCCTAGCAGCCTGCACGCTATTGGTCGAAACCGGGCGACCGACTGTGGCGTTTGGGGCAGCAGTAACGGCCAAGGGGCTGGCAGCAAAGGCGCCAGATCAGACAAGTGGCACGCCGACCGATGGTAAGGGGTCGGGCGGCGGGTACGGTGGGCGAGGCGCGTCCTGTAGCGTGAACAGTGACAACGGGGCCGGCAGGGGCGGCACGAACAGTGCTAGGGGGGAAAACAGGGGCGGAGGCGGATGGGGGGCGGAGGCGGAGTCATGGGGGGGAGATGCGTATGCCTGGTCTTCCCTCACAGATCCTTGGAAAACGGGTAGCAAGGGGGGAGCGTTGGGGGAGGCGGATGGGGGGGGGCCTGGGGGGAGGGCGAGTACGCATTGTGGTGCGGGGGGATGTGGTGGTGGAGGGGCGGATAGACGCGGATGGGGGGGATGCACAGATGGGCAGCATGGGGAGGCTTGGGGGGGGAGGGTCCGGTGGGAGTGTGTTTGTTAATGCCTCGTCAATGTAAGTCAGCCCCCCTCCACCTTCCCCTGCTTACCGCTCCTCTTTCTCTCCTCTCCTCCCCAATTCCTCCTCCTCGCCGCTTCCCTCTCCCCGCCCCTCCACCCCCCCCCCTCTCACCCCCCACACACCACCTTCCGCCCTCCTCCCTCCCCCATCTCCCGTCACTCCCTCTCTCCGCTTTTCCTTACTCTTCCTGTTTGATCCAACACAAGCACTGGGCACTTTCTCTAGTTGTGAGACGTCTAAATCATTTTCCTTACTCTTCCTGTTTAATCCAACACATCCACTGGGCACTTTCTCTTCCTCTAACCTCTCCGCCCCTCCTCTTCCCCGTCTCTCCCCCCATTCCCCCCACCACTCCCCACCAGCCAAGGCACTAGGCGCATCTGCGCCAATGGGGGGAAGGGACACGGGGGAGGCGCAGGGGGGCGCGTGGCCATCCAATACCAGCCCCCCCCAACTTCCCGCTCCCCCTCCCGCTCCTCCCCGTCCCCTTCCGCCTCCCCCTCCCCCTCCTCCCCGTCCCCTTCCGCCTCCCCCTCCCCCTCATCCGCCCTCTCCCCCGCCATCCAAGCCACTGGTGGACCCAGTGAGGCCTGCCCTTATAACGCAGGCTCAGCCGGAACAGTCATCAACTGGGCCAAACAAACCCTCGTTATAGGAAACTCCAACCAGCCCTCGCACACCTTCACACCGCTCTTCACCGTGCCGCTGTACCCCTACTGGAACGGCATTATAGTGGAAGGGGGGGCCAAAGTCGTCGACTCGAAACTTCCGCCTCCGAATCCGATCCTGCGTGTGGTTCTGAGAAGGTTCCTGTGTGCTGTTTGGAAGCAGCACCGGGGGAGGGGGGGGCGGAGGGGGCGGAGGGGGAGATCAGCCGGCGCCATCTCCACCGTTGGATCCTGATGAAGCGGAGGTGGAGGTGGTGGTGGCGAATCTGACACTCACGAATGCGACTCTGGAGGTGTGTGGGACGATCAAGGTCTTCGCCTCGCACTTCAACCTGCACTCCTCTGCCTCTCTGCATATCCACCAGCTAGCCGCCGCTGCTGCTGCTAGCAGGAGTAGCAGCCGTGACAGTGGTGGCAGGAGTGACAGCAACGGGGATAGCACTCATGGCAGCAGCAGCAGCAGCAGCAGCAGCAGCAGCAGCAGCAGCAGCAGCAGTAGCAGCAGCAGCAGCAGCAGCAGCAGCAGCAGCGGCAGCAGCAGCAGCAGCAGCAGCAGCAGCAGCAGCAGCAGCAGCGGCAGCAGCAGCAGCCGCAGCACCAGCAGCGGCAGCAGCAGCAGGAAGCGAGACAGCAACGGGTGGAGGCGGCACAAGAGTGGATTGGTTATGGGATTTCCAAGCATTGACGGCATTTACCTCTCCCTCACTGTAAGTTCTGCTTCTTAGTGCTGTTTGGGTAACCACTCGGGCAACTGATTAACTGAATCAGACTTAGATATAGGGTCGGAAGCAAGCTACCTTGCCTGATTCTCGTTTCTGTAACCCTCACCCAGTGCGGTTCTGCTCCCGTCAGGCGAGCGAGCAATGCTTGTGTGTGGCCGCATATGCACTTTTGAGAATTCTCAAAAGCAATGCTTGTGTGCGGCCCGCATATGCACTTTTGAGAATTCTCAAAAGCAATGCTTGTGTGTGGCCGCATATGCACAGCCAAATACTTCCGCCCCCCCGCTATCCCCTCTCAGGGCGGTTCTTCCCTCGTGAGCTCAGGCCATGTGTGGCTGCATGAGCAGAATGAGAATAGCCCTTCTCTTCTCATCTCCCCTAAATTTTAATCTTCATCCAGATCTGAACCTTGTCCCTTCTCCCTCAGGGCGGTTCCTCCCTATTGAGCTCAGGCCATGTGTGGCTGCACGGGCAGAACGAGCTGGCTCTGGGCGGCAGGAGCCTGCTAACTGCCAAAGAACTCCTCATCCCCATGTTTATCGCCTTTCGTTCCGGGTTCTGGGCGGCAGCCGGATCGCCGCCCCTCTCTCCCATGCTGCACTTTCTCACCTACAGTCACTCTCCGATGGTGGTAGAAGCGAACCAACATTTCAGCCAGAATTCCTGCTACAGCCGGCTGTCTCTCTGCTACGGTTGCAGCACGCAGCAGCAAGGTGGAAAGCGGGAGCTTGGGCAATCCCTCCTCCTCCTCCTCCTCCTCCTCCTCCTCCTCCTCCTCCTCCTCCTCCTCCTCCTCCTCCTCCTCCTCCTCCTCCTCCTTTTCCACCTTTGAATCTGTGGCGTGTTGGGGGTGTGCAGTGCAGGCAGGTGACTTGCCATACTGTCACGTGTAGGAGTGTCTGTCCAGTGAGGTGCAGCCCAACCACGACTGCAGCAGTGAGTGTCAATCCCCCTTATCCCTCCACGTGAACTACCTCTCCCCTGCACCTTCTCTCGTCCACTTCCTTTCTGTTTTTTTTTTTCTTTAAGCTCCTCCTCCTGTTTACTTACCTTCATAACTTCTGATTCCCTTCTTCATCCTCCCTCCTTCACAAGCCTATCCGTTTGTCTCTCCTTATCTGTGCAGGTCTTATCATCTGGACAGCCAGTACGGGCAAGGGGCGATGGAGGGGGCACTGGTAGGGTCAAAACTGATAAGGCCACATTTCTTCAATATCCATGACCCCTCTACTCTCCTCTCCCCTCTCCTCCACTCCAACCGTGCAGGTCCGTCGTCTGGACAGCCTGTACGTGCAAGGGGCGATGGAGGGTGCATTGGTCCGCATATATGCCTCCTCCTCATTGGTCATCGACCACCGAGCCTCCATCTCTGCTTCAAGCCTTGATGAGTGGCAGGTGCATGGGTGGTGCTTGAGTTGGGAGGCTGTGCTTAGTCTTGAATCTGAGCCTCTCCCCCTGTGCTTGCTCCGTACAACTGGTTGTTTGGCAGGGAGCGGACAGACAACACACGCACAATGGGAAGCGGAACGGGGGGATTCGGGAGTGGAGGGCGGAGAAAGGAGGAGTGGGGGATGGAGAAAGGGGAGTGGGGGGCGGAGAAGGCAGAGTTGGGGAAAAGAAAGGGGAGTGGGGGGCGGAGAAGGCAGAGTTGGGGCAAAGAAAGGGGAGTGGGGGGCGGAGGAGGCAGAGTTGGGGCAAAGAAAGGGGAGTGGGGGGCGGAGAAGGCAGAGTTGGGGCAAAGAAAGGGGAGTGGGGGGCGGAGAAGGCAGAGTTGGGGCAAAGAAAGGGGAGTGGGGGGCGGAGAAAGCAGAATTGGGGCAAAGAAAGGGGAGTGGGGGGCGGAGAAGGCAGAGTTGGGGCAAAGAAAGGGGAGTGGGGGGCGGAGAAGGTAGAGTTGGGGCAAAGAAAGGGGAGTGGGTACATGGTAGTAGCAAAGGCACCCAAAAGTGTGAAGACGGGATAGGTTCGGCTTCGTTCCGGTCCATGCTTCGAACGGAGTCATTCCCGGGAGCACCTTCGTCGGCAAACGGTTGCAAATCCACGCCGCTAACGAACTCGCCTCGCCCCACCACTCGCTCCCAAGCTTGGAGTGTTAAAGAAGAGAACGAACGGCTTCCACCAACGTGCGATTAAGCCGCTCCGCCGTTCCATTTTGTTGGGGTGTGTAGGGTGTTGTGGCGTCGTGCTTAATGCCTTTGCTCTTCATCCATTTCTCAAGCTCCGCGTTCACAAATTCGCCACCAGCATCGGTGCGAATACACTTGATCCGCTTCTTGTCGTCGTTGCAGGCTTCGAGCGCCCACTCTTGAATCGCCTTGGCCGCATCTCCCTTAGCCTTCAAGAGTCGAGTCCAACACATCCGCGTCGCGTCGTCGAGCATCACCAAGAGGAACCGCGCTACTCCCTTTTATGCATGCCGCATCCGTCCACACACGGCCATGTGAACAAGCGCAAGCGAGTCCTTAGCGAGGGGTGACGTCCGGTTACCAAATGGCTTGCGAGCCATTTTTCCTTCGACACACGCCGCACACACGCCCTTCTCGTTGTCGCCGGCGATCACGTCGAGTCCCTTTGTTAGTCCTTTGTTGGCCAACTCCTTGACCGAGTCGTAATTGGCGTGCGCAAGCCGATTATGCCATGCTTTTAGAGTCGCCTTGGAGCCTTGCGCCACGTTGGATGAAGCCGCTCTCGAGTACGTCTTGAGTTGGTAGATATCTCCGTTGAGAACACCTTGCACGAATTGCTCCCCCTTCCAAAAGAGGTTCATCTTCGCACCGTCGATGGTGGCGATCACGCCCTTCTTCGCAAGTTGCAAGACGGATAGAAGGCTCACCTTCACCCCCGGGACGTGAAGCACGTTCGTGACGTCCACCGGTCCGCTATCGACAATGAGGCGCGTACTCCCAACTCCAACCACCGGTAGCGACTTGTTGTTTCCGAACACAATGCTCGTGACATTTCCTAGAGCACCAATGTTGTTGAGGAGCGACGCCGACTGCGTCATGTGTTGCGTTGCGCCGGTATCGAGGAACCACACGTCGCTTGGAGTTTTGTTCCCGTTACCGGCCAATAAAACGAGCGACTCCTTGGAATCATCCGCCTTGCCAGATGCCGTGTGCGCGTTGCCCTCTGTCAGAATCCCAACCACTAGACCATTGGGATAAAAGGGCTTGTTTGTGTAGCGGGTAAGTGCGCCCATAACCCCCCAGGCCAACGTGCCTGTAACCCTTCCCTAGGATCAATCGGGGATCACCAGCGGACCTCTGACACCCTCTTGGTCCCGCGCCATCGATGGAGTCCAATCGCTCGGTCGCTTTCGACACTCACGCCAAAAGTGTCCCGATTTGCGGCAATAGTGACACCTCCCGCGATGCTCGCTCCCACCGGACGATTCCTTCGTTGCGCCCTTACTCCTCTTGGACTTCTTTCCGGACCTCCCTTCGGAGTACATGGCGGTTCCCTCGCTCTCATTAGCGAATTGTCAGCGACGCGATTCCTCATGGAGAAGCCGACCGACCACCATTTCCTTCGTCCAAGTCTTTTGTACGTTATCGAGTGTCGTAATCACCGTCGACCACTCTTCCGGAAGGCCGCAAAGCAAGGTGAGAATCAAATCCTCCTCTGTGACCGTTCCACCGAGGTCCATGAACGTTTCCCCGAGTTCCTCCACACGAGTCGCATACTCGTGCATCGATTCGCCCGCGCGCATCTTCACCGTGTAGAATGCATTCAGGGCTAGGATCCTGCCATGGAGAGCCTTGTTCACGTGGATCGTCTCAAGCCGCTTCCACGCTTCACGCGCCGATGCTTCAAGCTTGATGCACGTGCGCACAGAACTCACGAGGTTGATGCCGATGCGTGAAATCAATGTTGTGAACGCCTTTTGGTCCTTCTTCTTCCATGACGCGATCTCGTCCTCGTTGATCGGCTTTTTCTCCATTCCGTCGAAGAGACCCCAAAGTCCCCGCTCCATCATGAGCACTAGGAACTTAAATTTCCACGCGGAGTAGTTTTGTCCCGTGAAAATCGGAACCGCCGACGTGTCAAACACCGTCGCGTTTTGTCAGAATCCCAGCCACTAGACCACTGGGATAAAAGGGCTTGTTAAGTAGCGGGCCAGTGCGCCCATAACCCCCCAGGCTAACATGCCTATAACCCTTCCCTAGGACCATCAGTGGACCTCTGACACGTGTGTCCAGGGTTCGCCGGGATTCGAGATGACACCATCCAAGGAAGTGCGGGAGGCTTCGCTTGACGTCATCATGCTTCCTTCTCGTCGCGCGCGTAGACTCTTCCGACCAGCTCTGATACCACTGTTGTAAAAGAATCTCCTCTAATTTGCAGGAACTAGGAGTTGCACTAAACGATAGAGCACTCTTCTGGCTTTTCAACGAGCCATCAAACAAACGATTCACCTAAGTAACGAGAGAGTTATAGGCGTTTATGTGCGTGCTAGTGCTCTTAGAACAAAGGATAGGAGCTCTCTGGATTTTGTAGTTGAGTGTATCACATACAAAGTGATTCAGGTTTTCAGTATGAAGCATGCAACACAAAGCAACTAGTTTTATAGCAGGCAATCAACATCGAACCGCACAAGTAACCTCAAATGTTCGAGTAACATTTCGAAGGGGGTGAAATTCGAGTCTCGAATTTCACCGAATCGAATTCTCCCTGAGTCTCGATTCTTCTTGTGCTGCCATGTGGCACCGAAATGCAAGTCTCTCGAAGTCAACCTGCACTTTCTCGAGACCTGCAGTGAAGCCAAACTTCTTGGAACACTTGAGAAGCACCATTCGGTGGTTGGGGGCAAAACCTTGCTTCACTCAACCTCCAACATCAAATACGCAGACATTTCACGTGTTGGAGTGTGAAGGGAGTTATACTTAGCATTCCCGTAGGTGCAGCAGTATCGCACCTGACTTTGTCGAAGCAGCAACAACCGCAGTATCGGATCAGCCTATATCAAGGGCAGGAAGGGCAACAGTCGCAAGAGTCAACTGTCGCGACTGTTGACCATCTGGACCGACACTTGACTTACCATCGAGGAAAAGCAACAGGCGTAACCGTACAGGTTACATGCAGCGACTCGGTAACAAGAAGGAAGTACAACAGTCAGAGTCGCTGTAGAAATGCCTATAAAACAGTTATAATAAGGGAATGTACCCCTTAGAGTACATGGCTAGACTAGGACTATTTATATTCCTTGTATTCTATTGTTTAATCAACTTGGTCATTTACATTCACTATGATCTGAGTTCTTACAAGACTTCCGCTACCAACTCTACTAAAGCACCTCCTATCCTATCTAAAGGTCCTCCCTCTAACATGGTATGAGAGCTAGTTTGGATTATAGGATCTGCTAAAGGGGCTTCCAACAAAGCTTCCTTATAAATTAATCTCGACATCAACAACATCAAGGGCATCAACATGCCAGGCGCAGACTGCAAAGAGGCTGGAGAAAATCCAGTGCAACCCTCCACCAATGTCGCCTCTACTACAACGACCGTGGACACAGCGCTCCTCGAGCAACTAATCTCCCGCATCAGTGCACTTGAGAGCCACCAGCCAATGAGCAATGACGGCTCAAGTTACGCACGAAGACCTAACGATCCTCAAGGAGCTGGATTTGAACGATCCTTTACCTTCGACAACCGCGGAACTCAAGGATCTGCTCAAGCACAACAAACACCCTACGAGGCAATGGCTTCAATGCAGAGCAAGTTCCTTTCCACGTCGAAGCTCAGAAGTACCAAGCCCTTCGATGGACAAGACTTCTACACGTGGAGCTTCGAATTCGAACTACTAGCTCAGGGCGCTCATATCTGGATGTACTACGACGGATCATACCCCTTTCCAGCAAACGGCTCACCTCGGGAGAAGACGCAATACTACAACGAATCGCTCCTGGCCTTCATCGTCTTAATCCGGAACCTGTCGCCCGAAGAACAACTGAGCATTCGCCCCTTCAAAAAAGAGTGGGCGCCCGCGCAGCAGTCCTGGGAACACCTGCGTACCTGCCACATGGCAACAGATTCGGTGACACTCAGTCGCCTGCTCAACCAGCTGAACAACGTCAAGATGTTTCCCGGCAAAAAGGCCGGACCATACATCAACCGCTGCAGGAACCTGAGAGACCAATTCAGGAAAAGCGGCGGCAACTTCCCTGACGATATGTTCGTCACCATCATCCTTGCTGGATTGAGCTCGGAACGTCGCCAATGTAAGTCCCTCCTTTGTACACAAGGCACTCTCAGTGAGACTGCCCTCTGCTCCACGCTCCTCTCCGAGCAGAAGGAAATCGACCTGTACAACGAAAGAGGCAACAAGAAGGAGAAGTTCGCCTTTTACGCTCAAGCGCCATCGGACAAGAAAAGACTCTTCTGCAAGTACTGCAAGAAGACTGGGCACATGATTCAAGACTGCTAGAAGCTGAACGGTAACAACAAGAACCAGAAGGGTGCCGCTGCTCACCAGCAAAGAGGAGCCGCAGCGCGCAACCAAACTGTGTCACCGCCAGCCGTCGCCAGCACGTCCCAAGCCCCAGCGGGTCTCTCTGCGAATACAAGCGACAAGGGCAAAAGCAAGGTCTTGACTTGCATGGTGCGTCATGGACCGCCTCGCCCCAACCGTCACTACCGCTTCTTTTGTAGCTGGGAAGATATGGTCGCAGACCCGCCTCAGGAGCGGCCCGAAGGATCAGTCAAAGAAGAAGAAGAGAACGATCCAACCTACGACGAGTTGACGGTCGGACGGATGTAGTTTGACTGGGAAGCGCCGGAGTGGATTCAGGAGTCGCCACCTGCACGCATCGCAGACGACGACGAAGGATGTTACTACGACTACGAAAATGATCACGACATGGAACATCACATCACCCCAAAGCTTGCCAATCTGGCCAAGACAAGAAAAGAAGTCAACACGTGGTACCTGGACAGCTGCTGTGGTCAGCACATGGTATCTTCA